GTGTACCATGTGCCTTTCTCCATCACCATCAGATCAGCCAAGCCATTAAATCCAACACCTCACATGCATGTCCCCATGATGCATCCTTCAAGGCTGCCCACACTAGATCACTAGAGGGCACTGGATTTGTTTTGGGGCTGGAGCATTTTTTGGCTTCTCACCCCCCTGTTTGCTTTTAGACACATGCCCATTTATTTTGTTTTTATTTTGTTTTCTGACTTGAACAAAAATATTTTTGGGCCTAGCGCCCATTTTACTATTGTTAACCACTATTTCTATTTTTTTAACCCCCCGACTTTAATTGTTATATTTTATTTTTATTTTTCTATTTTTGTTATTATTTTTATTATCATTTTATTAAATAAAAATACTAAAAATATTTTATGTTTATTATTTAGATATTTAGTATATTTTCTATTTAATTTCTTTTAGATAAAAAAGACCAAAAGAAACATTCCTTTAGCCAATTTTTTTTCTTAATTAAATTGATAATTAGACTTAAGTTTATTTTATTTTCCTTTAACTAAAGTTAATTTAGAACTTAGGACTTTTAAATTAATTAACTTTGTATACTGGTTTGATTTAATTAAAAAAAAATTCACAAACAAAACCTTAAACAACTTACTTTCTTAAATAAATTAATTTCTTTTATTAACTTAATTTTATTTTATTTTGTTTTAATTAATTATTATTTTTAATTAATTAGGTTAAAAATCATTTTTTTAAACAAAATCCATTTTTTCTCCATTCATATCCTTGTATGTTTATTCATTCTTGTACATTTAACTCTTGTACATATATTCAATATGATTGTAATATATAATTAGGATTTAATTTTCTTGCAAATCCCCATTTATAAATTTGTATACCCCATCCCCCAATAATGTAATAGCGTAGGATATTTACTTTCCGCAATTTATCGTTTTCAAAATATAAATGCTAGTAAATTAGGGTTTGTATGGAAAGATAAAATCAATACTAGAAAATCCTAATTCAAGACAAAACAAAGCATGAAATATAAAACACTTGCACACTTTGCACCTCTAGGGTTAACTCCACTTGTTGCCTTAAGAAATTAATGGTCATGTTATGCATGTGAGAAATCTTAGCCAAAATAAATTAAAAATACAAGATCATAGTCCCTCGACGACGCTATGAATGTTGCCTTACAAATGATCTTAGTCCCTTAAGAGAAATGCTAAGATGTCTCACAATATTGTTATCCATGACTATACGATAATCCATGCTCGTCCCTTCACATCCGAAGATAGGGTTACTTACCAATCAATGGTGAGATAACAATATCAAAGGAAGAGAAAAATTAACAAAAGACTTTTGAGTAAGTAGAACGTTCTTAGTTGCTTGCTCACAATCCATCTTCAAACACAAACATCTTTTCAAACGCACTAAACACTTTCAAAAATATGAAATATTTTCAAAAGTTCAACACTTTGTATGCATTCTTATAGAGACGAGAATCATTACCAAATTTGCCTAAACGAATACGCTTTTCAAAAATAATTTCAAAGCTCACCACAAACACATTTCAAACAAAGCATTTTCAAAAGTGATCTAGCAAGCAACTAAGAGCCCGTAGATAACTACGGATGAAAAGGGTGCTAACACCTTCCCTTTTCATAACCTACCCCCCGAACTCAAGAAAATATCTCAAAGGTATTTCCTGTTCTTTTCACTCTTTTCTTATTAGATAAAATAAAAGTCGGTGGCGGCTCTTGCTATCTGCAACAATTGCAATAAAATGCAAAAACACCCAAGTCAGTTTTTCGACCGTATTACAGTCCCCTTGTTTGACTTACCTGTATAGTTCTTTGTATAAAAGTGCATCCAAAGTCACATCTAAATTTTTTGGATGTGTTATTTTGCTCCAAACATGGGGTTGGTTCAGACTATCGTCCCTGGCGCCCATCAGTCGCAATAACTTCACATTCCCGTACGGATAATCATAAGTTAATAACATTAATTTTATTTACTTACTTTACATATTATTATTTCTAAATAGTTTATTTTAATTTTTTTTGGTTTAGATGGTCGGCTCGTGGTATGACTTATAACAGATGTCTTATGCATTGTATTACTCAGTATCGCAATCTCTTAGATCACCTTAGACCAGAAGATGTATTGCCACTAAACGAATCAATTCATAATCATTTATTTTTAATATCATCCATATCTAAACTTGGAAGATCAACATGAAATAAGAGAATAAGATGCAGTCATTTAGACTGCATGCACACCGATCATCTAATTCACCACTGGAGATGCACCATAGTGATTGTGTGAAACTATAGTTCGATATGCTTCAAAACACCCCAAATCCTTCGACAAAACTCGAAGAATGGAATCTACGAAGAGTTAACGACCAATGGAACTTCATCCCTAGGCATGACTTTGCTAAATCAAAGTGTCGTAAATGGAAGCATTGTTGTGATCATGTCTTACGTGACATTGTGATGCCAACCGAAAAAAAACTAACTCGTAATTATATGACTTGGTACATATTAGTTGGATTTGAGTTTATCGCCGAAGATATGTATCTATACGACTCACGCCAAGTCACTTACACACAAGAAGCTTCAACATCTACCCCCCCCCCCCCCCCCCCCCCCCGCACACACATACAAAATTACCAGGCTTGTTACTCACAACCCATATCCAACAAAATTACTAATCCACAAATAGACAAACATACGATCTTAAAATGCCAGACACCCAACCATAGTACCAATAACATACCTCATATCATCGCCAACAAGATGATCATTATCAAGACACCCAACATCCATATTCCCTTAACTCATCAGCCTAACCCGACGATCATATAAATCAACCATTCCTCATGCCATAATCAAAAAGTCTAAACATCATCAAACCAAAACATACAACAAACATATGACTATCAAACACCACAACAACCATTTCGAACTTTCTCCAATGAATCGTTCACATCAACCCTTCAATCGTCCCAACGGCACACAAATAACTCAAACACACCCCAACTACTTTGGCACGGATCACGAACTCAATTACGACAATGCGTCATTCTATACATAAAACTTCATGGAAATACAAGAACTTCTTAGAGAATCTGGTGATAGTGATGTTCATGTGATCTCATTTCCTCAAATATCTAGGGTGAATCAACAGTGTGGACGAGAGCAACGAGTTAAGGTAGATAGGGATAAGGAACCGGTGGTCGGTATGACCAACCTAGTCAACGACATTAGTGTTTTTTTATAGTTTTCGTATGTAATATTAATATTTTTTATTCTGATTTTTATACAAATTATCAATTATTATAAAAAACACTATACACATTGATGCTAATTGAATTGACATCACCTTTGAAAGTTAATACATAAGCGCCAATTAAATTGATAAATTAAATGCAAACGTCAATTTAATTAGTGTCACCTCATAAACGCCAATTCATCTAACACCAGTGTTACGCTCTAGTTTTTTTTAAGTGAGATAAATTGAATTTTTTTTAAACTGTAAATTTTATTAAATTTTTTTTTGAAAATATGGATTATTTGGGTAAAAAAAAATGTACATGATATATTTTAAAATCTATATTACTCCTAACCTAATTTTGTTAATACATGAGTAGTCAATTTGAATTTAGTTTTTAACGTGGGTGTATAATGATGACAAAACACACAAACGGTTTCTATTTCAAAAATATTACTTGCCTATAAAAAACGGTTTCAATTTTTTTTTATAAATATTTTCTAAAAGAAAACGTCAAATGTAATTTGAAAATACCATAAATAAATTTAAAATAAAAATAAAAAATAGTTACCGTGTGATAGTATCCTTATTCCGTATATTTGGTGATTTCTTTTTGACTTATTACTAACTCCTCCTGTGTAACACCGACCTAGTACGTACACTGCTTCAACACTGAACAGAAATACCTACTTTCTCTCTCTTCCTTTTCTCTCTCTAGCTAGGGCCCTATCAACTTCCTTTCTTTCTCTCTCATAACGTTTACTCTTTCTTCTTTCAAATCCTGTTTCACTTCACACTATCTAATAAGCTCTTCTTCTCACTCAACGGTGCGTTTTCTTTCTCTTTCTATCCCTCTCATTATTCTACTCTCTAACACTATCATTCTATTATTCTGGAAATTACAAAAAACATCTTTTTAAGGTTATTGTTACCGAAACAAAAACATAGTGTTTATTTTTGTGATTCTAAGCATCATGGATAATAATTATTCAGAATAATGTAACTTGTTTTTTTTTTGTTGTATCGTTTTATAGTACTGTTTATGATCTTTAATGGGTTTGTCTTGAATTTCAAATTTGATTTATTAATAACAAAAAGTTTTCACCTTTTTCTGTGTTGAAGAAAAAATATATTTTCTTCATGTTTTGATCATTGTTAATCTCTTTAGTTTCTGAGGTTTAACATTTTTTTCTACAGTATTTTTATATTTTTATATTATTCTCTGTTGAGGATTCACATGAGACTCATTGATTCCCGGGTTAGCTACTCAAAATTTGAAAGGTGTGTAATTAAAAAGGGAATTTTTCTCTCTGGGTTTTAGAAAAATTAGGTTTAAAATGCATTGGGATTTGGTTTTTTTTTTAAGGCTATACTAGTATTCTGAATGTTGACAATGCAACAAGTTTTCATTTTTCAAACAATGTGGATGTGAATGTGAATACTTTATACTTGTCTTTGAGATCTGTGCTGTAAGAGTATTTTGTGACAAAATTTGATTTTACTAGTTAGGATTAAGTTGAGTGTGTTTAAGTCTAGAATGAATTTTAACATTGTTGTGTTTTTTTGTTAATTTAATGTTGGGTTGTCTTATTATTTTTTGTACTACATGTTCCATTCTTCTTAAATGCAAAGGACTCTATTGTTTCTGGCAACATGTCCTTTTTGTTATTTCCATTCAAAGATTGGGTTGTTGCTGATTTCTTCTGATTTTTTGTTGCATTGTGTAGAGGGAGTTGTAGGCAAGAATTTTAATGGTAAGGGGGCCCAATAATACTATGGTGGATATGAACAAAGAGAAAGTGGTTTTGAATTCTCAGTTGTTTTCTTCATCTCTAAAAGGGTTTAAGGACAAGACTATCACCAACAATAACATGCCCTCCTGGCTTCTCACCAGCATTTCTGGTATGTATTGAATTTTCACTACCGTACCTTTTATTAATTGCTTTATGATTAAATTTTGTTTGAACTTCAATTTTTGTAATTTGAAAAGTTCAATATTTTTTTTAAAACTAATTGAATAGTTTTTGTTAGAATTACTTGTGTTACTTGTTATATTTGGTTATAAGTAAGGATGACAAAACGAGCCCGTGTTTTTTTGCTGTATAATTTAAGGTTTTAGGTCTCATCCTCCAATAGGTCCGCCCTGCATGTCTTTTTCCTCTTGTTTTTTATTGCCGACTTTTGCATAATGAGGTTAAACGGAGAGTCCATTTGCCAATGTTTGTTATAAGTATTTATTCTCTAGTTACTTTTGTTGTAAGTTAGTTAAGATTTGATAGTTCATAAGAAAGTTATATAGATTGTATAATTTATTAGGTCTAATAAACATGTTATCATTGAATCAATATAATCCGATCGTCTAATACTGCGCTAGAGGGTGTGGCCGAAATATATGTTTATAAGTGGACACAATAATCACTCTAATTTTTTTGAAGAGTTTTGCATTTATTGGAAAAAGAAAAATGTATAGTAGATTCAATAGAAACACGAGTAATGAAGAATCTGAATTTAATGGAGTCACATGCATCGAGTGTTTCTTGTATCAATGATGATAGATAGAAGGAAAGGGATGAAGAAGAAATAAAAATAAATAATACAGAAACGTCCCTATCATCTGTCAAATAAACATCCAAGTTTTCTTTGAAAACCGCAACTACCGTACATATTTATTTACCATGTTATAGTATGTTGTCACTTCACACCACTTAGCCACTAGCTTCTCTCTCTACACGTGCCTAGTAAAATGTCTTTTTGGTCCTCATAATCTTTGAATATATTGGTTTTAAATGTGTTTTTTATAACTAGGAGTATATATTATTTAAGTTTGAAATTGTTTACAATAATAATCTTTTTCATATTTAGCTGTTGACAGGTCTACCCTTTAGAGTCTATGATGTGTCTATCTTTTTTTCAAATCTCCAATTTGATATCAACCAGATTCCATCTTCATTGTCATTGTTCTGCCTCATGCAATCCATTGTCACTTTCTCACGTAACCTTTTTTTCTTTTCTTTGGCTTTTGCCATAACTTTTTAACCATTGTGTTTTTCAAAATTTGAACATACAAACTTTTTTTGTTGTGTATGTAGCCGTTAGAATTACACACTTCCAATTTTAGCCTCGTGTACTGTGTCCTTTATTATCTTAAACTTCATTGGAATTTTTCTTAAAAAATGGAAAGTTTTTAAAGATTAAGACCTTTTCTTTTCTTTTCACAGCTGGCATTTGTATCTCAGGTGTAGTACATGATGCTGACATTTGGATTCAAAACTAGAGACAAATTTAATTGTAGTAGGACTTCACATACCCTTATGTGCCTAACTATATACTATTCAATTTTCATTTTCAATTTTCAAACTTTTACATTGTTATTAAACATTTTATCTTGTTTGTACTACCAGAATTATTTATTGGTTTTGTCTCTGTTCCCTTTTTTTCTGTCATTGTTTGGTGAATTGTCACTTTCTTAAGCTCAAATTTGACATCAACCCTTTTGAGATCTGATCTATATTAACCCCTATTTGGTGTTCTCATTGGTACTTTAATTTAAAAGTTGTGATTTTTTTCATGGTTTTGAAGCTTATGGAATTGAGTCAATCAGGTGTGAAAAAAAAGGGTCTTTTTTTGTGTGTTGTGTTCTTTTAATGGTTTTCAAATGTGTTGTGTTTTTGTTGTACAATTCTAATTGAAATGTGTACTTGGTTTTTTGTGATGGTAGATTTGGAAGAGAGGGTGAAAATGTTGGCAATAGGAACATGTGAAGATGAAGAAGAAGGAGACACTTTTGCTGAAAGAGCTGAAACTTACTACCAGAAGAGACCTCAACTACTTTCACTTCTTCATGATTTGTACAATGGCTATATAACTTTATCCGATCGTTATATACAAACACTTGCGAAACATAAGCATCATAGCAGACACTCTTCCCAAGTTTCAACTTTGGAAGAAGGTTTCTATGATCAAGAAGAGGAAGAAGTTATTAGTGGTGTGACTCAAGTTGATTCGGATATGGAAAGTTCGATCTCTTATCAACAAACATTGTCGTTGAGGAGTCTTCCTAATAGGGGAGCAACTATGTTTGATGTTGACGTGGTTGTAGCTGAGCTTGTGATGAAGAATGTTGAGTGTGATTTTCTGTTGCACGAGGTTAATGCGATGGAGAGGAGGTATTGTGAGTCGTCGAGGAAAAGTGAGTTACAAAAGAGTTTGCTTGAGGTTTTGGAATCTGAGAGAGTTGTTTTGCTGAATGAGAATGCTGGTTTGAGCTATAGGGTTAATACATTGGTTGAAGAGAACAAAGAGCTTGCTTCGGAATCTGTTTTTATCAAACGGAAAGCTGGGGAGTTAGCCAAGTGTGTGTTGAAGATGAGGGAGGATCATAGAGTCTATCTATTGCATAGGAAAATTGAAGATCTTCAAGGACAGGTACATGGTTTGGAGAAGAGGAACAAGGAGTATTATGAGAGGCTTTTGAGAAGAGAGAGTCAAGAAAATGAAAACAAAGGGAAGAATGGTGGTGAAGGAATAGAAGCTTTGAGAAGGTTAAAGTGGAAAGAAGAGGAAAAGTCTTGTAAGAAGAATTTGGATGGAAAGAAAGGTCATAGTTTGTGGAAAAAGCTCAAGAACATGGACTTGTTGTTGTGTGGGACAAGTCCAGCTTGTTCTTGATCTTGGTTGGACGGCCCAGCCAAAGGGTTGCGAATGAACACAATTCAAATCTCTATTTTTTTGGGTCGGTCTTAGTGTCCAACGAAGATTTATATGTATACTTTTTGGCTTTTGAATGTTAGTAATAGTAGTAGGTTACCATAGTAGCATGTGTTTGATTTTGCGTTAGAAGCTCCAAACGCAAACCCGGGTTTGCTCCCGAGGGGATGCTGCCATTGAAGCTAGAAAGCCAGGCTTCTATTTGGACAGACTTGTTGGGCAACGAAGCATACACTAATATGGTGGATATTTCAATATGAAGTTTAGTCAAGTCTTGTAGTGAACTCTAATTTTAGAATTGTTTATTACATCATCTAGAGAGTCAATACTTTTGGCTCTAGTATTCTTGTTTTGTTCTTGTTAAAAGACTTGCTTAACAAAAGTATGTGATGCATCATTCAACAATGGTGTTACAAGTGATTAATACGTGATTAATACCTTCTTAAATGTTGTATATGTTTTCCCTCAACTTTTTCTTCCTTGCAATTTGTTTCTCGTAGTTATATTATTTATTTGAGAAGAATCATATTTGTAGTGTTTAATCTCAATTGAGCGGTTGTTTATACTTTGATCTGAAATGCTAAATGTGTAGCAACTCAATTTATAAGTAAAACGATCAATTGAGAGATTATCCTCATACGCACGCCTTAACTTTCCAAAGTGAATTGTTCATTTAAGAGAAGAAGGATCCTGTTTTAGGATACCGAAGTGAGATAATCCTTCAATGTTCACTAATCATGGTGTTGGAAACGTTTCTTAATTATTCTCCAGACTGAAAGTCAAAGAGACAAAAATGTGCCTTCAAGGCAACAAATGTTTAAGTGTAATTATGAATTTATGATCTACCTGTGTTAGTGTCGGTGACAGGCAGTGGGATGACTTGTTCGATTTCAACAACTGGTCGGGTGGAAAAGAATTTCAGACTGGTGATTTTCTTGGTAAGAGTAGAGTTTCACATTCATAAATGGATGCGTATGAACCAAGAGTCTTCTTTGAAGACTTTGAAAATAGTGCCAACTTCTCTATCCAAAGTTACTCCACCCAGACAAGTTCCACGCCACAAGTTCCTAACAAACGACCTCTCTGCATTCCACGTCAAACATCAATAACTGCGCTTCATACATTAGGCATCCTCGATCACAAATGTTATCTTCAAATCTATCTATCATCATATCTAACATTATTTCTAATTCCCTTAAGGAACACTTATTATCATCATATATAACATTATAATCATTTAATTTATTCCCTCCGTCCCGTCTCATATTATTTGTCACAATAAATTATTCTAATTCAAATATATTATTTGTCACAATAAATTATTCTAATTCAAATTAACATTAATGTTAAATGAAAAAATAATAAATTAAAAATGTTTATTAAAGCATATAATTAGAAGATTAAATAAAAAATTACATTGGTAATCTAAAATAACAAATATTTTGAAATAATTTTTTTCTTCTAAATTGCAAATTTACTCTCACCAAAACTCTATTTGGCCTAAAGAAAGGAAATAAAAAGGGAAAATTCAAGTAAAATTTTTTATGGAACCTACCCAAAAAGAGAACTAATGAATCACATACCACATACTCAATTTGAAAACAACCATTGTTATAAGATAAAACCCTCTTACTTCTTTTATGACATTCATCAATTACCAAGGTCAAAATAATGATACAACAGTGTTAGTTTAGTTCTTGCTCCTATAGAGCAAAATAACTAATGTACATATACTTTTTGGATTTGAAAATTTGCAGATGAAGGGATATCAATCTAGTTGAAAAAATTAGGAAATGATCATCACTAGCTTAAATATGTGGAGATACTTGTGTTATGGTTGGGTCATTGTTGTTCTTGTCCGTAACGACATTTAACTTCTTCGCCCTCTAGAAACCTCTCCACTGAATCCGAAGGAAGGCCAGTCATCTCTAATGTCTTGTCCCATACTTCATACGATGTTTGAAGATTGTGAGCTTCTTCCGACGGATTTGTGGGTCGACAATCGTGAGAAATATAGGCACAAACAGGCCATTCATCTGATTTCAACAATTCACAATACTCTGTTATTTGAGGATCACTGGCAGCAAAAAGTGTACTCCTAGAACCTGTATTGCAGCACAAGTCATGTATCATCATCATCTAGCATGAATAGACTTCAGAGATAAAACTCGAGATTTTTAAGTACTTCTATAATGAAAACACTTGAAATCACTTTTGTCAATCACAAATCGCGTAAAACAGCTATTTTGTTCAAATTCTGTTAAGTTGCAGTGCTATATAACGTTTCTATAACCGCAAACTCACAACACTATGTACTAAATCATGCATCGTGGACCAAAAGCAGTTTGATATATAATAGAACTGTGATGAGAAGGAATAGTACAAACATAGATAAACACAATGTCTCAGAAAGATAACAGCTGAGGCATCTACTCTATTTATGGAAACTATCGGATTGAGAACAAAGGAAAGAATAAGGACACATTGATTAAATTCCTATGAAGCACTAACACCGGAGACACCGACAGTAACACTGAGACGTCAACACCAATAATAATTGGAAAAATAAATAAATTAAACATAATCACAAGTGTCGGTGTCATTTTGGACACGGACACACCCTTTTTCAGTAGTGTCGGAGCTACATAGTTAAATTCAACAAAAGCATTGAATAAACAAACCTTCTTGAGCATTAAAGATGAAGTAAGGTATCAAATGATATCCAGTTTGAACATATTTTGGAAGATCCCTTGCCTGCATAGATGAAGTCGAAAGTATTAGTTCATCCAGGAACAGATATGATGTTCATTTGTTTGTTTCAAAATACTTACAACATTGGTCTGGACAATTCCAGGAGATACACACAATACGCTGATGCCTGCCTCAGCAGGTAGTCGCTTAAAAAGAACACTACTGAACATAACCTACAATAAAAAAACACAAACTCCTTTTTCATTCAGTTTCAAGATGGAAGTAAACCAATCAATTCACTTTCAAGGCATATTACACCATTGAATTTCCACACCGATGTAGCATGCATGCCAGATTCGTGTAAATTAATAACTATACCTAAGTCCACTGGTAACTTCATTTGATAAAAATATTTATTTCTGAAGAGGCTTTTTCATGCCTTCATCAAATAGTCAAAAACTTCATCAGGGAAGTGTACCTGTGCCAATTTACTGTTTGAATATCCCGACAAACTAGAAAATTTTCTTTTTCCTGATGTGGCATTCATATCTTCAGCATCAACAAAGCCAATATGATGCATCTACAAAAAAAAAAAAGGAATTTTTTTACTAAAAGATAGATAGGAAATTTTAATGTGTCGGTTCAAATAACTGCATTTTTAGTGTTTAAGTAACAAAAAACTTACAATGGAATTCAAGTTCACAATTCGACTAGGAGAGCCCCTAATAAGGGATGGTAAAAGAAGTATTGAAAGCATAGCAGGAGCAAGATGATTCACTTGCATGTGTTCCTCGTAACCATCTTTTGAAAACTTCTGCGGCTCTGAAAAAGACCAAAAACAAGTGAGTAGTTTAGTTTACAATTTTATTCAATGAGAACTAACTTGGAAATAACCTAGTTACAGAAAAAGATGATAAGAGTTTAACTTCTTACAACAGAAGCATTGGACAGAGAGACAGTACTTGACGCCGATACTGATTCAGAATTATTGAAAAAAGATAGGCCAAAACTCATCAACAATATCGGAAATACTAACCTCCAATGGAAAAAATGCCAGCATTATTAATGAGAACGTGCAAGGGTGCTGCACGGGCATTCCATGCTTCAGCAAACCTAGCAACCGAATCCAATGACAGAAGATCCACCACCATCACCTTGACAAGCCAAAAATGAAAGTAAATAAACACAACTAATACCGAAGTTGTTGATTTATAAATATCAACAACCTGCTGCCAAGACTTGAACCCTGGACCAACAGCCCCTTAACCCAGTTAGCAATTGCCAACTGAGCTACCCCACCCACCCTTCCACTAAAACTCATTTTGATCTCAAAATCTATTCAACCAAAAACTCTCTCTTAAGCATTATGCAAAAACAAGTATCCATTAACAAAAAATATACTCCCTTCGTTTCAAAATGACTGTCGTTTAAGGTTTTTGCACAAAAAGATTAAAGAATGCAATAATGTTGCCATACTTTTACAAAATTAACCTTATTAATGTATTGGAAGTAGTGTCTAGAGTAAAAAGTAAATAGCACAATTGGAAAAGTGATAATCATTACTACATTGAAAAGTGAAAATGACAGTCATTTGAAAACAAATTTTATTTGCTAAAACGACAGTCATTTTGAAACAGAGGGAGTACAAAGTAAAATCATCAACGTGTTTATACACCTATGACCTAACTTGCTAAGTTTTTGAGATACTTGGTTCATGCTAGATACTACCTCAACATTGAGTGCAATACCCAATCCAGCAGATTCAATCTGCCACTTCTGAATTAACTCAGTAGCCACCTTGGCGTTCCTTACGGCCATAACAACATGTGCCCCTGATTGTGCCAATTGCCTGCATAATAGAAAGAACAACATTACCAAAAACAAAAAAACTGTCAAACTCCAAACCACTCGTAGAACATTAAAGTAGTCCCTTTGTTTCAAAATGACTGTGGTATTAGCAAATAAATTTTATTACAAAATGACTGTCGTTTTAACAAATAAATTTTGTTTTAAAATGACTGTCGTTTTCACTTTTCAATGTAGTAATGATTACTGTTTTCCAATTATATCCTTTATTTTTTACTCTCTACACTACTTACAATACATTAATAGGGTTAGTGTAATATTTTATGACAACGTCGTTAAATTTCTTAATTTTGTGTGTAAAAACCTTAAACGACAGCCATTTTGAAACGGGGGAAGTATATTGCAAATACAAAAAATCAAACATCATTATTTATGATTTATGTTCAGACAGAAAAACACAGTAA